AGAGATGAGGTCTCGCCAAGTTGCCCAGGCAGGTCTTGAACCCGCGGGCTCAGGCAATCCTCTCACCTCAACCTCCCAAAGGCGCGGGATTAGAGACTGAGCCACCGAGCCCGGCTGACCACCTCTTACTAAGAAGTTTGTGGATTGGAAATGTCTGACAGGTCTCTTGTAGAAAAAACCCCTCCCCTTGTCTGTCCAGGTGTCCGTGCCCCCCCCCCCCGCCCCCCGCCATCTAGCCCACCACCTGAGGGCATGAAATGCTAATGTCTGACAAGGTCAAGATCTAAGACTCATGTGGCTACAATCAACATCAAAGACCGCTGCCCTGGACATTTCCTTTGACCCAGACTCCTCTGGGCCTGAACTCCCCTTATGGCAAAGGCCCTTAAATATACCCAGTTTGTAGCTCATGTCTGTAATCCCAGTACTTTGGGAGGCAAAGACAAGAGGATTGCCTGAGACCAGGAGTTCAAGACCAGCCTGGGCAACTTGGCAAGACCTCATCTCTACAAAACTTAACCGGGCGTGGTGGTTCACACCTGTAGCCCCAGCTACTTGAAAGGCTGGGGCAGAAGGATCACCTGAGTCCAGCAGGTCAAGGCTTCGGTGGCCGTGAATGTGCCACTGCACTCCAGCCTGGGTGACAAAGTGAGGCTCCAACTCAAAAAAAAAAAACCAAAAACCCAGTTCTTGGCCCTTCAAGGTCACACTTGCCTCTGAGTGTCAGTCCCCTGAAGGTGAATAATAAACTTTACTTCCTTCTGCTTCTTACTTGGTTGCAATCTTGCATTATTCCTACGTTACCAACACCAGCCCACCTCGCCTCAGTTTACCCTTTCAGTAACAAACATTCTGTTCCATTCCACAAAAGACTGTGAAACTAGCCACAGCATGTGTGTCTAAGGGTTAAATACATTCACAAAATAGACCCACCAGGCAAGACGTTGTGTGAGAAGGCCTGGACTTTATCCTTCTTGCTTCCAGTTCTTTGTGTAACCTGAGCAGGCAACAGCTTGGCCCTATTTCCTGGTGCAGGCACACTTGGAGAAGTAAAGAAATATGCACGCCTAGTAAGCAGTCCTGCTCACCTGGGCTCAGACCCTTTTCCTCATCTCAAGCTCGAGATAAGACATTATAAACTGAACAAATGTGACTCCTGCAGAGAAAAAAAACCCTCCGTGTAACCAAGCAATCAGGATATTGGAAAATCCTAGTCAGAAGTTGTTTTAAAATTTGAAACTGATTACTTAATCTAAAGCTTATATTTCTTTTTTTCTTTTTCTTTTTTTGAGTTGGAGTCTCACTCTGTCGCCCAGACTGGAGTGCAGTGGCCACTCCCAGCCACCACAGCCTCGACCTGCTGGGCTCTGGCGATCCTTCCGCCTCAGCCTTTCGAGTAGCCGGAATTACAGGTGCGCGCTACCACGCCCGGCTAATTTTTGATTTATTGTAGAGATAGGGTCTCCCCAAGTTGCCCAGGCGGGTCTCAAACCCGCGGGCTCAGGCAATCCACTCGCCTCAGCCTCCCAAAACGCTGGGATTACAGGCTGAGCCACCAAGCCCAGATAAAGCTCATATTTCTTTCTTTTTTTTTTTTGAATTGGAGTCTCACCCTGTTGCCCAGACTGGAGTGCAGTGGCCGCTCCTGACCACCGCAGCTCGACCTGCTGGGTTCCAGCGATCCTTCCGCCTCAGCCTTCCAAGTAGCTGGAACTACAGGTGCGCGCTACCATACCCGGCTATTTTTGGTTTATTGTAGAGATGAGGTCTCGCCAAGTTGCCCGGGCGGGTCTCGAACCCGCGGGCTCAGGTAATCTACTCACCTCAGCCTCCCAAAGCGCGAGATTACAGGCTGAGCCACTGAGCCCGGCTTAAAGCTCATATTTCTAAAGAAGTTCTTTTTGTTGTTGTTTTTTGAGTTGGAGTTTCACTCCATCACCCAGGCTAGGTGCAGTAGCACGCTCACAGGCACCCCAGCATCAACCCGCTGGGCTCCGACAATCCTTCCACCTCAGCCTTCCAAGTAGCCAGAACTACAGGCGCGTGCTACCACGCCCAGCTAATTTTTTTGACTTATTGTAGAGATGAGGTCTCGCCAAAGTGCTGGGATTACAGGTTTAAGCCACCGTGCCTGGTCCTGAAGAAGTTTTTTTAAACTTGATCATCATACCTGCCATCAGCAGTTTATTGAAGCAAACATTAATTTTAAAAATCAGGCTTGGTGCAGTGGCTCAAGCCTGTAATCCCAACACGTTGAGGCTGAAGCAGGAGGACTCCTAGAGCCCTCGAGTTCAAGACCAGTCTGAGCAACATAGCAAGACCTCATCTCTACAAAAAATAAAAAAATTAACTGGGTGTGCTGGTGCGGACCTGCAGTCCCAGCAACTTGGGTCCTGAGAGGGAAGGATTGCCTGAGCCCAGGAGGTTGAGGGTGTGGTAAGCTGTGATCGTGCCATTGCACTCCCGCCTGGGTGGCCAAGTGACATCCTGACTCAAAAAAAAAGATACAAATAAAGAAGTAAATGATTATTTCAAGAAATCACAGCCAGCTTTAGAAGCAAGAACAACATCACCTTGTTCACCCTGTTGAATGTTCCCACACCTGTAATGAACGTCTGTACCCACTACCCTAGGTTAACACACTTCCAGTGCTCATTTGAACTGGGCTGTGGGCTGAGCTCAGCTTGCCTCTCCTCCCCGCTCCACCACATTCCTGTTGGGAGAACTAATCTCTGGAATGTTCTCCATCTCTGCTTGTCCCTGGGAGGAAGGAAGCAGGTGGTTCGGGGCAGACTGTGCTCTGCAGAGCACCCAGGTCACCTGGAACGGCAGGTAGGAAACTCTAGGAAACCCAAATACCCCTCCCTTTCTCCCCCACTTCCTCCCTCCCTCCTGTCCTCTATGTCTTTCTCTGCCACACGCACGCACACACACACACGCACACACACATGCACACACACACACACACGCACACACGCACACACACACGCACACTCACCGCCCATAACTCTTACTTTGCTGACAGGCAGAGAGGACAGAGACAGCAGCCAGCAGGATTGAATTTCCAGCCATCTTTCACACAGATGGTTTGGTTCAGGCAACTATATGTAGAACGCAGGCAAGATAAGAGGCACTTTTTGACTTTGCAACCCTGACCCTCCTTATTGGGTAAACAAAATCGGGGAAGGAAAAAAAAAAGAAGCCTGATTCCAGCGGCTGAGCGAACTTTGCTCTGCTAGAGAAACCAGGAAGGCAGGCAGGTGGGGCTCTAGGGACAGATGGGTCTCTGGCCTGGGAGTGGCTTCCTGAATTGGCTTTGAGCTGTCCCCTGGGTGCAGCTCACCCCGGATCGCCCTCCAGCCGCTGTCCAAGGGTCTTCTCTGTCACTGCACAGACTCTCTGGACTTCTCTAATTGCCATGCCCCACCCTCTTCAGGCCTTGCTGGGACCCTTCTAGCTCCTGTAGGAAGAGTGAGAAGGAAGCACTTCATCATACCGGAAGTTTAAATGCTAACTTAAGCTAATTCTAATTATTTTCTTTTGAGTCAGAGGTCTCACTCTGTCCCCCAGGCTGGAGGGCAGTGGCACCATCACAGCTCACCGCAGCCTCAACCTTCTGGGTTTAGGCAATCCTTCTGTCTCAGCCTCCCGAATACCTGGGACTACGGGTGCACACCACCATGCTCGGCTAATTTTATTTATTTATCTATTTATTTTTGAGTTGGAGTCTCACTCTGTCACCCAGACTGGAGTGCAGTGGCCGCTCCCGGCCACTGCAGCCTCGACCTGCTGGGCTCCGGCGATCCTTCCGCCTCAGCCTTCCGAGTAGCCGGAATTACAGGTGTGTGCTACCACGCCCGACTGATTTTTTGATTTTTTGTAGAGATGAGGTCTCGCTACCCAGGCGGGTCTCGAACCCGCGGGCTCAGGCAATCTACTCACCTCAGCCTCCCAAAGGCACGTGATTACAGGCTGAGCCACCGAGCCCAGCTTTTTTATTTATTATAGATACGAGGTCTTACTACGTTGCCCAGCCTGGTCTCGAACTTCTGGGCTCAAGCAATCCTTCAGACTCGGCCTCCCAAAGTGCTGGGATTATAGGTGTGAGCCACCACTCCCAGCCCAATTCTAAATTTATTCATCCAGTAAATGGTAGACCCAGGATTTGAACCCTGTCTTGTAGAGTCCAGCTGTGCCCTAGTCCCTGTAGCACACTGCCTCCCATTGTCACCTTGACTCTGTTCTGATCATAGTGAGCATATATGTTTGTTTGTCTTTAGAGACAGGGTCTTGCTATGTTGTCCAGGCTAGTCTCAAGTTCCTGGGCTCAAGCAATCCTCCTGCCTTGGTCTCCCAAGTAGCTAGGATTACAAGTGTGTGCCACCACACCCAGTCATTTCACAAAAAATAAGCCAGGCACAGTGGCTCACGCATGTAATCCCAGCACTCTGGGAGGCTGAAGCGGGAGAATCACTTGAGCCCAGGAGTTCAAGACCAGCCTGAGCAGCATACTGAGACCTCATCTCTGAAAGGACAAACCGAGAGTGGGAAGCCATTTTTCATCTTGTTCTTACACCCTGATACAATGATGAGAAAATAGAAGGCATGTTTTGGAGAAATGCATACTTTATTTTTTTTGTTTTGTTTTATTTTGTTTTGTTTTGAGTTGGAGTCTCACTCTGTCGTCCAGACTGGAGTGCAGTGGCCACTCCCGGCCACCACAGCCTCAACCTGCTGGGCTCTGGTGATCCTTCCACCTCAGCCTTCCAAGTAGCCGTAACTACAGGCACGCACTACCACACCCGGCTAATTTTTTGATTTATTGTAGAGATGAGGTCTCGCCAAGTTGCCCAGGCGGGTCTCGAACCCGTGTGCTCAGGCAATTCAGTCACCTCAGCCTCCCGGGATTACAGGCTGAGCCTCCGAGCCTGGCTAGAAATGCATACTTTAGATAAAGATTAACTTTGCCGACTTTGTCCTTTCAGAAACAGAGACTTCCTGATGCCAGAGGTATCGCATAGAGGCAATCAAGCTTGCCTAGAGTAAAGGGAATTTATAAGGCCTAAGACATCATGCACTGGGCAAGGACTGTAAAAGTCATGAAACTTGTAATTACAAAAGTTACGACCGCTCAGAGGGGGAGCAGGTGGGGATTCGATCTTCCAGTAAATTGGGCCCTATCTACAGGGAAGCCAAGGATCCCCTGTAGCTACCCACTGGGAATGCCTAGGAGATAAGGGGAGGTGCGCCCTCCATTAGCTATAAGGAATGTCATTCGGGAAGGTGCAGGAGCACTGGAATCCTTGTCACGCCCTTCTCTAGGGGCTATGATAATATGGGCAGACATTAATGGGTCTCTGTGTCACAGGGTCTCCAAGACATTCGCAGGTGGTCGATAAGGAAGTCAGGGCAGTCACATCTACCTCACTGCAACATCTCCAAGTGAAAGGATTTAAGTCGGGGCTCAGTGTACTATGGGGTCACACTCACCTAGAGTATAGGCCCACTCCCTTTCTGTGGGGAGTGAACTTTTCTTAAATCTTTTCTTCTTCACCTCTTTGTGTGTTGCAATTCTTTGCTTTACTTGGATCTCTGGACTGCCAGTGCACACCTCCAGCACGCCGGCCCTGGCGGTGCTGCCTTTCCCCTTGGCTCTCCATCCACCCCTCCACTCTCACCTTTTCCATACCTTAACAATCTCTACAACAAATTAAAAAATTAGACAGGCATGGCGGTGCAGGCCTGAAGTCTCTGCTACTCAAGAGGCTGAGGCAGGAGAATTACCGGAGCCCAGAAGGTCTAAGATGCAGTGAGTCGTGATGGTGCTACTGCACTCCAGTCTGGGCAGCAGGGTGAGACTCTGACTCGAAAAAAAAAGGGTACATAGTCTGAGGAAGACAAGGTTCATTGAGGAAAGAAGTGGACGACCAATATTTAAGTTGAACTTGGGAAACCCAGCGCACAAGGTCTCTCCACTGTCAGACTACGGCACACTTCACCCAGGCAGAGCACCGCCCTTCACAGCTGGGGGCTTCTACTGAAGAATCTGTTCATCACAGGCTCTCCCCTCTGTCAACACCATTGTTTTGCTCTTTCAAAATGCAGCTTCCCTTTCCTCACCCCGCTCCCACCTCCCCACCTGCTCAATCAGAGGGAGGGTCTCAGTCGGCTCAGGTTCCTGTAACAAACATACCTCAGAATGGGTGGCTTCAACAATTGCAATTTCTTCCTCATGGTTCTGAAGGCTGGGAAGTTCAAAATCACGGTGCTGGTCAGTTGAGTTCCTGGAGAGGATTCTCTTCCTGGTTTGCAGAGGAACTCCTTCTTGCTATATACTCTCTCACCTACTGGAGAGAGAGGGAAAGCAAGCTCCCTGGCCATGTTTTATAAGGCCTTGGAGCCCATTATGGGGTCCACCCTGACAGCCTCACCTGAACCTAATTATCTCCCAGATGCCTGGCCTCCAGAGACCCTCACATTGGGCGCCAGGACCTCAGCATATGAACAGAGGGGGGCACATAAACATTTAGTCCACAGCAGGGAGCTCTTAGCCCCATAAAGACCCTAACATTCAATGATGGCAACTGTGGACAAGATTCTGAGCTTCTTTGAGCCTCCCTTCTTTGAAACTTGATAAGATGGTGATAATAGGAGCTGAAGAGAAATTGAAATGAAGTAGGTTCATTATAAAGATAGGATTCGTTAATACTTGTAAAGCCCTTAAAACAGCAGCCGGCATATATATAATCACACTGAAGCCAGGCTCAGTGGCTCAGCCTGTAATCCCGCGCTTTGGGAAGCTGAGGTGAGTGCATTTCCTGAGCCCATGGGTTTGAGACCAGCCTGGGCAACTTGGCGAGACCTCATCTCTACAATAAATCAAAAAAATAGCCAGACATGGCAGCGCGCGCCTGTAGTTCCAGCTACTTGGAAGGCAGAGGCGGAAGGATCACCTGAGCTCAGCAGGTCGAGACTGCGGTGGCCGGGAGCGGCCACTGCACTCCAGCCTGAATGACAGAGTGAGACTCCAACTCAAAGAAAAAGTTATTTAATTCGTTCATGAGGGAACCAGTAAGACGTCGTCACCATAGGAGAATTCAGACCTGGTACAGTGGCTCATGCCTGTAATCCATGTACTCTGGGAGGTTGAGGCTAAGAGGATTGGTTCAGCCCAGGAGTTGGAACCCTGGGCAACAAGACCTCATCTCTATAAAAAATTACCCAGGCACACGCCTGTAGTCCCTGCTACTCAGGAGGCTGAAGCAGAAGGATCACTGGAGCCCAGGAGATCGAAGCTACAGTGAGGCATGATTATGCCACAGCATTCTAGCTTGGGCGACAGAAGGAAACCCCAACTCAAAAAAAAAAAAAAAAAAAATTCAGCCGGGCTCGGTGGCTCAGCCTGTAATCCCTCGCCTGGGGAGGCTGAGGGGAGTGGATTGCCTGAGCCCGCAGGTTCGAGACCTGCCCGGGCAACTTGGCGAGACCCCCATCTCTACAATAAATAAAAAATTAGCCAGGCGTGGTAGCACTCGCCTGTAGTTCCAGCTACTTGGAAGGCTGAAGCGGAAGGATCGCCGGAGCCCAGCAGGTCGAGGCTGCGGTGGCTGGGAGCGTGCTACTGCACTCCAGTCTGGGCGACAGAGTGAGACTCCAACTCAAGAAAAAAAAAAAAACTCAAGGAACCACACTTGGGGAAAAAGGAATGAATGACAAAATTGATTAACTTACACACAGCTGTAGGGCAGGTCTGCTCACAGTGCCTCACTGTTCTCTTCTGGTCCCCTCTGCCGTCATCTGTTTTTGAAATCATGGGAGACTAAGAAGATGTGAGAAGACAGATCCCAGGAATCCAGGGTGGCACTGAAGTGTTCCTGTGTATTTGATTGCATAGTTTTGGCCTTCAGTACAGGACACAGATTCTAAGCTGCAAACCAGCTGCCCTGAACCCAGGTCACCATCTACTCAAATAACCTCCCCCAAATAACAAGCCTCGAAGGAAAGGCTGGGCCAGGCCTCTGATGGAGGCTCTCGGAGTGAGAGAACTGCTCAGAGAGAAAGAGCAAGAGGATCCATGCAGGGGG